ATACCCATACATTTCATCCATACATCACACATTAATATCCATACATTTCACTGATACAAAAAGCTGTTAGCTACCTTAAAAATGGTCATATAAATTGTTAATTATAAATCGTTTGTTATCGAACCGACGACACCAATATCTGCTTTGCTACAGAATTGCATTTTAGCACGAAATAAGTTAGTACTGCCGATTCAATCTTTACCAGTCATTGTTGAGTCAATTAACCCCAATGTCGCTAAAAGTGTCACAAAGAGAATATTAATCGGCCAATTAATAGGAGTTAATATCCGTAATAACAAATAATGAATCTAAGGCCCAAACTTTCGTAACCGACAGAGTCGCCTAAAATAATTAAAAATTAAAAGAAGTGTTACTGTTACCTCACGCACTTGATGTGTTCGGAGATTGAATATTGTTAACCTACCTTTCGCTTTCACAGCAAACGTTATCGGTAAACATTCTGTTATTGATGGGGAAGTAAAATTAGGATATTTAGGACAAATGAGCTGTAATTTCAAACAGTTTGGTATAGATAATGACTTTATTTTGCTTCGTAAATTAAATCGGTATTAAAAAAATATTAAAAAAAAATGTGAAAGGCTTCAGATTTTAAATTACGTCTAAAGGGGCCTGTTTTAACATTTTTTGTGTTACCTTTAGTAAATATCATGTTCTTCGTACTTAAACCATAAAATTCAGTTCAAGAGCAATATCGCAAAATAATTTTAAAATCGGCCTATTTTTAGAATTTTCGATACACAGTCTCCCGCGCTGGAGATAAAAATATTTTTTTCTGTACAACGTTGCTATAGCTCGCTTTGAAATCCTTGAATTTGTTAATCAAAAATTCGTTCAAGTTTTACAAAATATGAAATCGATAATAAAACAAACTCCAAATTTTGAGCTTCCAAAATACCCATATTCGGCGGAGGATTAAGTTATTCAAAATGGGATGCTCTAGGTACCGTTGTTTTATTACAATGCGAGAAACATGCATACATTTATGCACATTTTTCATTATTTAATTCCTTTAAATACAACACAGGGCAATAATATTGGGTGGCAACAATTTGAAAAGTGAAACAACGCTCGTAGTGAATCAACGCAAAATGCCAAAACGAAATTAACAGTCCTTCTGGGCAAATTTCTCCTTTGGACTAAAAATTAATTATTGTATTGAAAATATGAAATCTATAATAAAACGAATTCCAAATTCGGGCTACCAGATGCCCATATTCGGGTGGAAACGTACGTTATTGAAAATTGGATGGCCCTAGGTACCGTTATTTTATCACACTGTGAGAAACATACATACATTTATTCTGATTCTTCATTATTTAATTTTTTTAAATATAACACTGGGCAATAATATTGGGTGGCAACAGTTTGAAAAGTGATACGGTCATCTACAGTGAATCGGCACAAAACGCCAAAACAAAATTAATAGCCCTTCTGAACTAACGCTCCTTTAGGCTAATAAGCGGCCGAGCGGTAAAGTCGCTGAACACTGGTAGTTCAGTCCGAGGTTCGAGTCCTGCAGACGGGCTCGCTGCGTGGGTGTTTTCGTGGTTTTCCCCATGTGTAACGTGCATACGAGCCAGTTTTCCTTAGAACGTCCTCCACGAAGGCATCCCTCCCCTTAGGCAGATAGCCCTCGTGCTTTGCCGTAATTAAATAACCTAACCTAACCTATAGGCTAATACACATTTATTTAGATTTAGAGCTATTATTCTCCTAGAAGAGCTGTTATTCTCGAACCTGTCATTTGCATCGAATCGCATTTGTTGTCCGTTTCACTTTTCAAATAAGTAACCGCTGGAGCGGCCGATTGCTTAAAAAAGTTACTGTAAAACTGCAATATATATATATAATATATTAAACCGCTTAGTTTGTTAATTAGTAACGTGAAGATTAAATTTAAAAGAAAAATTAAATATCTTCACTGAAAAAGCAATAAACTGGATGTGGAAGCTGGAAATATTTTACATTGGATATCTTAAGAATTCCTTGTAAAGTTCAAATGTTGTCATCCTTTTTTTATACACATATTTTTTATTATATTATTTCTTTAATACATGGCGATAACATTTAATGGCAATACCCTTTTATATGTTTCCATACTTTTTTATATTCGCTTTATTTTTTATTTGGAAATACAGTATAGTGTTATTATTTAGTAGCAACATCCTTTTATCTGTGTCAGATACGTTTTCTAATGATCGCTATTTTTAGTCTAAAGAGATGTAAGCCCATAATGGCTATTTAGTCTCGAAACGGCATTTTGGTTCGAATCACTAATAGCGTTTTCAATCTGTTGCCACAAATATTACCGCCCTGTATTATATTTAAAGAAATTAAATAATGAAGAATCGGTATGATTGTATGGATGTTTCTCGCATTGTGGAAAAACAGCGGTATGTAAAGCCATCCATTTCCGAATAGTGTAACCTTCCATACCAAAAGGGCACCTGGAAATCGAATTTTGAAGTTTAGAATTTGTTTTATTATCTATTTCATATTATGTAAAATTTTAACGAAATGTTGATTGAAAAAACTCAATGATTTCAAATGAGAAGAGGCGACATTGTACGGAATAAAACATTTTTATCTCCAGCGCGCGGATCTGTCTATTGGGAATTCTAAAGATGCACTGTTTTTAAATACTTTAAGCCCAAAGGGGCGTTAGCTCAAATTCTTTCGAAAGGGCTCTCGAAAGTGTATATTTATATAAACGGGAAAAAAAACGCCCCTTTTAACGTAATATAAAATCTGAAAAATTTCCGGTTATTTATCTATTTTGTTTTTTAAATAATGCATGACACGAACAAAAAAGGAAAAAGTTCTGTTTTAATTCTTTCTGAGTTCTAAGATATTTAAAGTTCTCAAATAATTTAAAGAATCATGTTTTCGTATGAATCAGATAAAAGAGCTTTAACTTCTCAGAACGAAATGTACCTTTACAATCATTCTAAAAAAATAAGTTTCAAAATTTCAAGAAATAGGGGTCTTGAAAATAAGGCGAAGTAAAATAAATAAATTTGAAATGCATTTGCATAAATATATTTAATTTCCATACTAAATAAATATATAAATAAAAAAATAAACTGAAAGGTTTTAGATTTTAAATTACGTCCAAAGCGGCGTTTTTTTAACGTTTTGCGTGTACTTTTATTTATTAAATATCATGTTCTTTGCACTTAAACCATAAAATTCAGTTCAACAGCAATGTGCAAAATAATTTTTAAAATGAGCCTATCTTTAGAATTTCCGATACAGTCTCGCGCGCTGGAGATAAAAAGGTTTTTTCTGTACAACGTTGCCATGGCTCGCTTTGAAATCCCTGAGTTTGTTAATCAAAAATTCGCTAAAGTTTTACAAAATATGAAATCAATAATAAAACTAATTCCAAATTTGGGCTTTCAGATGCCCATATTCGCGGTAGGATTACGTCATTCAAAGTTGGATGGCTCTAGGTACCGTTGTTTTATCACAATGCGAGAAACATACATACATTGATGCAGATTCTTCATTATTTAATTTCTTTAGATATAATACAAGGCTGTAACATTGGGTGGCAACAATTTCAAAAGTGATTCTCTGTATATACTGAATTAACTCAAAATGCGAAAACGAAATTAATAAGCCTTCTGGGTACAGTGCCTTTTGCACTAATAAATTTATCTGTATATAAATATTAAATAACAAAAGCTTAAATTTATTATTTACTCTATTTCTCAAATTCTAGTAAAATATGACGTAACATTTAAAAGAAGCTATAAAGAAAGCTATTAAAAAAAATCTGAAACTTTCAGATTTTACATTACGCCAGAAGGGAAGTTTTTTAATGTTTTGTGTATTACCTTTATTGATTAAACATCGTGTTCTTCGCACTTAAACCATAAAATTCAATTCAATGGCAGTATCGCAAATTAATTTTAAAATGAGACTATTTATAGAATATCCGGTACAGTCTCGCGCGCTGAAGAGAAATATGTTTCCTCCCCCCCCCGTACAATGTTATTATTGCTCGTTTTGAAATCGTTGAGTTTACTAATCAAAACTTCTTTGAAGTGTTACAAAGTATAAAATCTATAATGAAACAAATTCAAAATTAGGGCTTCCCGTTGCCCATATTTGGTGGAGGATTACGTTTTACAAAATTGGATGGCTCTAGGTACCGTTGTTTTATCATAATACGAGAAACGTAATACATTTATGCAGATTCTTCATTGTTCAGTTTCTTTAAATATAACACAGAGTGATAATATTTGGTGGCAACAATTTGAAAAGTGATTCGCTGTTTATAGTTTTCAACGCAAAATGCCAAAACGAAATTAACAATTCTTCAGGTAATATACATTAATAGTCCATAGTATTGCCCCTTTGGACCGAAAATGTGAATTAAGGAATATAATCGAAAAATTATATATCAAACATATAGCATTAAGCAAAACTTTAACACTGTTATTTAATATTAGAGCGAAAAATTGCTTAAATATACGTTTTGAAATCTAATGCATTTGGGCTAACAAAAGCTTAAATTTATTGTTTACTATATTTTAAGTCTAATAAATTTGACTTAATATTTAAAACATGTAATTAAATAAAGAAAAATATTAAATTATGTATTTAAAAAAATTTAAGATTGTTACATCCAGGTTAATTAATAGAAAAGCAAGCTGGGAGCATATATATTTAAGCAAAGCTTATTTAGGAAATAGGACATAAAAAAATAACATAATATAATCAATAAATCTAAAACGAAATAATTTATAACACGTATATTATATATTTCCATAACTGAATAAAATCCTAACATTGCGTGCTTAAGATTAAAGCACCTATTAAATCATCCTTCATTACGAAAAAAAATACATATTCAATATGATGGAATTTAGATGATTTTGAACTTATAAAAATTAATAATTTTCACTTATGAACACCCTTTCACAAACTTAGTATCCAAACAATTTAAAATATCGTGAAGATAAGTAACTTACTTTTCTCATACTCGATTTGATACCTATTGTCCAGTGGAGCAAAGTGGTAAACTAACCTTCCTGGTTACCCAGTATAGCACCAAATGACGCATAACGGACAATGGCCACTCGGTTTTATACGGCCAGTATCCCAACCCAGTTTTGAGTTTCCCTTCGCAGTCTTCTTCGGAAGGACGTCTTTTCTTTCTATCGGAAGAAGAAGGGGGGAGGAAATAGAAAAAATAATAATCTTTTTCTCCACCCCCCTACTACCGCCCTTCTTGCTTTACCTGTCAACGGTACACGCTCCGCTGCTTAAAGTCCGCGGTGAAAAGTTACGTAACCGTTGATGTTGGCAAACATTGAAGAGAAAAAGGGACATTTTGAAGGGGCTGATATTCAGCAGCTTTCGTCAGTTTTTCTGGCACGTGCACGCGTCCATTTTCGGCGCAAGATGTTAAATTTGGCGGAAAAATGTGCCGATGTGTATCAGCTGTTTATTTGACTCGTAACAATGCCAGTTGTTGAATTTGTTTCCGATGGAATTGTCTTTTTCCGTATTCCGTAGTCTGCTTTTAGCCCCCTTAGTGTTGCATGCACTGGTGAAGATAAACATTTTTTTTGCAATGAATTTTGGATGCTGACTTTTAACTGTCTCTGTTGTTTCTTTGGTTACGAATAGACCTACTTCAAACTGAATAAAATGATTCTTTTAGTGCGCATTTAGCTCTTTTTTATTGTATGGCATGCTTGTAAATGTCTGTGGGGCAAGTACTATACTTGTACAGCCTGTTCTGAAATTCCGGTGTCCACTCACTTATACTTACTCTTTCAGATCATCTTGTTTATGACATCTTGTTTATACCAATTTTTGTTTCACAGAAAAAGTACACTTCAATAATACATTTACTTATTAATAAATACACTTGCTTATAAGTACTCCTATGGCATGTATATATGAACGGTTAATTTTTTCACATTAAATCTCTGTTGTAAAATTATTCTTTTACTAAACTTTTAGATCACTTGTAAAAGCATACGTTTGTAATCACCGAATTTTTTACATTAAATTTCTGTTATAGAAATGTTTCATTTGCTCAACTTTCAACTCTCTTCTTTGTATAACATATATTTGTTGAACAGCGAATTCTGTACAATAAGTTTCAGAACCATTTATCTATCCTTCGTCGTACAATTTGTATTTGTAATCAGGAGATTCTTTTACATTCAATCTCCTTCGTAAAATGATTCTTTTGCCCGATCTTTAGCTTTCTTTTATACATAGCAAATATGTGCGAATACCGAATGTTTACAATGGGTCATTAGTGTAAAGATTCTTTTGCTCAGTTTATAACTCATTTCTTTGTATAACATATATTTGTTGAACAGCGAATTTTCTACAATAAATTTCTAAACCATTTATCTATGTTTCGTCTCACAATCTGTATTTGTAATCAGCAGATTACTTTGCGCTAAATCTCCTTCGTAAAATGATTCTTTTAGCCAAACGTTAGCTCTTTTTTATATATAGCAGATATGTGTGAATACTGAATGTCTACAATGGGTCATGAGTGTAAAGATTTTTTCGCTCATTTTTTAGCTACCTTCTTTGTATAACATATATTTGTTGAACAGCGAATTTTCTACAACAAGTTTGTGAACCATTTATCTATGTTTTATCGGAAAATATGAATATATGAATTTGCAATCAGGAGATTCTTTTATATTAAATCACCTTCGCAAAATGATTCTTTTACCCGATCTTTAGCTCTCTCTTATGTATATAGCAGATATGTGGGAATACTGAATATTTATAATGGGTCATTAGCGTAAAGATTCTTTTGCTCAGCTTTTAGCTCTCTTCTTTGCATAACATATATTTGTTGAACAGCGAATTTTCTACAATAAGTTTCTAAACCATTTATGTATGTTTTTATCGCACAATCTGTATTCATAATCAGGAGATTGCTTTTTTAGCTCTCTTTTATGTATAGCAGATATGTGTGAATACCGAATGGTCACAATTGGTCGTTAATGTAAAGATGTTTTTGTTTAGCTTTTAGCTCTCTTCCTGGTACTGCATACGTTTGTAAACAGTGCATTTTTACTTTAACCTGCGTTGTAAAAAGATTCTTTTTCTCATTTATAGCTGTCTTCTCCATACAGTATATATTTATGAAGAAGAAAAAATTTTTTTTCAATGAGTCTACATTGTAAAAATTCTGTTACTGGACTTTTAGTTCTCTTTATCGTAAAACGCGTATTTGTAAACAGTAAGTTTAATGCTACGAGTTTTCGTAATTTAATATTATGAGTAATTTGATGCTATGAGTAAATTTAATGCTATGAGTTCGTTGTAAAGAATAAAAGCCTAATTAAAAGTAGTGCATGGCAGTAAGAAAGAATTGGTAAAAAATTTCCAAAATTATTAAAAATAAACTCTAAATCATGTTAAAGGATTTATACCTATGCAATAGAAGATTAACCTCAGGAATTAACATCTGTGTTATGACTGAACTAAGTTGCTAATTTGAAAGCTAAACAAAAGATAAACCCTGATAAGAAAGATTCAAAAACAATGCAATGGTTTAATAACTGTAAAGCACAATATTTCTCAATAAACTTGGTGTTATTTCAAATGAAAACTTATTTCTGGATATTTAGTAGTTTTTGTTGCATGAAACACATTTTAAACTTCTAATCGGTTTCCATTTTTAATGATCCGTTTTTCCGGCTATTTAATTTATCCGCATTTAGTTATCGCAAAAGCGGTTTTTTTATTTCGAAACTGTTTAAAACTTATGATTGTCATCTCAAGTTACCATCACGATTTTCTAGGAAGGGTTTATATCTAACACTTCGATTTTTAAATGTCTGACATCACTTATTAATAAACGGATAGTGATACATTCAAAGAGAAAAAATATAATATAAAAAACTGAAAGTTTTCATATTTTACATTATGCCCTAATGGGTGTTTAGTAACGTTTTGTGAGTTACCTTTATTTGTTAAAGATCATATTCTTCGGACTTAAACTATAAAATTAAATGCAACAGCAATATCGCAAAATAATTTTAAAATGAGCATATGTTTAGAATTTCCGATACAGTCTCGCGCGTTGGAGATAAAAATGTACTTTTTCCGTACAGTGTTGCCATTGCTCGCATTGAAATCGTTGGGTTTGTTAAACAAAAATTTAGTTAAAGTGTTACAAAATATGAAATCGATAATAAAATAAATTCCAAATTAGGTCTACCAGATGCCCGTATTCGATGGAGGATTACGTTATTCCAGCGGTTCTCAATCTTTTGACTAACGCGTACCATCTAAACAAAAATTGAAAATCTGCAATACCACCACTACGTTTTACAATGATTTGTTTTTCAATAGAAATATTTAAAAAATACCGTATTTGACGGCATATAAGACGCACTGGCATATAAGACGCGCCCTTATTTAGACGGCCACACACAAGGAAAAAAAGTTTCTTTTAGTTCTCACGTTTCGTAAAAGCCAAGTAAACAATTATTGAATGCAATTACCTTCACGTATAAGACGCAGGTAACTTTTTTGAGACCAAATTCAGGAAAAAAAGTGCGTCTTATATGCCGTCAAATACGGTATATATTTTGCCATTTGCACAACTTATTGGCTATTTGTGTTAAATAGGCCTACCAGCGGCCGAGCGGTAAAGTCGGTAAACACTGATAGTTTCGTCCGAGGTTCGAATCCCGCGAACGGTCCTGCTGCATGGGCGTTTTCATGGTTTTCCCCATGTGTAACGTGTATACGAGCCAGTTTTCCTTAGAAAGTCCTCCACGAAGGCATCCCTTCTCTTAGGCAGATAGCCCTACTGTGCTTTTGCCATAATTAAATAAATCAAACCAAACCAACCCATTTGTGTTAAATATGTAAACATAAAAAATGCTATATTAAAAATTGGTTACCATTTTAATTATCAAAATATAAGTTATATTACTTAATTTCTAAAACTTCTAAAACTATTCAAATGGTTTAAAGCAGCTGTTCTAAACCTTTTGACTAACGCGTACCATCTAAACAAAAACTGAAAAACTTTAGTACCACCACTACATTTTTACAGTGATTATTTTTCAATTTATCAACAGAAATATTGTTAAAAAAATATTTTGCCGTTTGCACAACCTATTGGCTATTTGTATTTAATATGCACACGCAGAAATGTAAGATTTAAAACTAGTTATTCATTTAATTATCAAAATTTAATTTATAATACTTTAATTCTAAAATTTAGCGTGAAATTTGGGCCTGTTTAAGAGAGATCAATTTCTTTGTCTGGCCTTATTTCCCTTAGCTTTAATCGTAAAGTAGGATCCACTTTTAATTTTGTTCCATATTTACTTTTCAAATATAACAGGGAAGAAAATCCTTGTTCACACAAATACGTTGTGCAAAAAAGGCAATAAAAATTTGATAGCTTTATTTGAGATGCCTTTAAATTCTTTTTTCCGTTCACTCAAAATTTAACCATTGTGTTATTTTTGAAATCATCAGTTCGAGTTCGATCACAGGAAATTTCTATCAACTATTTTTCTTCACGAGATTTTTGAATTTAATAGTTAAAAATACTTTGTTTCTTTGCGTACCACCTATTTTTCTCTTGTGTACCACCGGCTGAGAACCGCTGCGTTATTCTAAATTGGAAGGCTCTAGGTACTTTTTTTTTTATCACATTTACATTTATGCAGATTCTTCATTATTTTATTTCTTTAAATATAACACAGGGCGATAATATTTGGTGTCAACAATTTGAAAAGGGAAACGGACATTTAATGTTTTTGACGCTAAATGCCAAAACGAAATTTATAGCACTTCTGGGCTAAATGCCCTTTGGGATAAAAATAAAACTGCAGTTTTAAAATGTATTACATTTATGAAAAAATTTAATTCATTTTCTTCTCAATTCTTTAATAATTTAGTTCTTCTTCGTTCTTTTCCCCCTCTTGAATACTTTAAACTTACTTCTTAATTTAACTCTATCTTTTCTTTCACGTTTTAGATATTAAAAAACAATAACAGTCGTTATATCTTAAGAATTAACAATTTTGAAAAATTATTCAGGTTTAACCGATTCTTTCTAAATTCGAAATCTGCCCCTTTTTCCCCCAAGAATCAATGGTCAAAACTGATAGTAATATTTGCTAGATCTTTCCAGTCAGAAGGTTACTTTACAAAATCATGTAACATGTTGGAGGTATTCATGAAAGACGACAAAGAAAAAAAAAAAAAAAAAAAACATAATTTTTAGCATTAGAAGTAAACA